GCTTTTGTTCATGTCACTGCTCCCCCTGGTGGATTTATTCTTCATTGCAGGCATGGATTCCACTGTAGGCAAAGTTTAGATGCTTTGCAAAATTATAGCGTATCTAGTAGTTCAGGGGAGGCACAGGATTTCACCAGCATAGGGCTGAACATCATTACTGATAAGCATTTTCTAAGGGAGTCAGGAGCAAAGTCTTTTACCGAGTTTGAAGAAGTGCAGGTAAGGATCTTCTGCTCTACCTACCCCACTAGTTAGGCTAAAAGAAAAGATTGATGGAACACACTATTCTGTGCAGGTAGCTGGGCGAGGCTTTCTAGAGATGAAGCCTGACGTTAACCCTCCAGTGCTTACAGTCAGGTTCAAAGCTACCGCACAAACACACCTACAGTGTAATGTAGAAAGTGCGTGTCCTAGAAAGCCATAGATAAAGTTCTGTGGAAGGTCAAAGAAAGCTGCACCATTTCCAGCCAGCGATGTCCACAACCAAACCCACTTTCCCCTCCCAAATGTGTTTCGTCTCCAGCGTTCCCTACATGTGTTAACGTATGCCACCGCGCCTTGGCTTACCCTAGCCAGGAAGCTGGGAAGGGAGCTCTCTTGACCATGGCTTCTCCTTACCTTCTATTGCCAGGTGGCCATGAAGCTGTCAGTTACATCTGTGCTGTCTTCTCCAGCCGGCTCTCAAGATCACGTGTGCTTTGGCCAACCAGTTTGGACCCCTCCTGGGGTCTCTCCCATCTTCTTTTCATTTGCACGGACTTAGTCTCAGTGATTCTCTTCTCTTTTAAACCTTGGCGTCCCCTGGAGGACTTGTTAAACAGATTGCTGGGTCCCACTCCCCAGAGTTTCTTCTAATTTAATGAATGGGTCAGGGTGAGGCTTGAGAATTTGCATTTCTAACGAGTTCCAGGTGATGCTGATGCTGCTGGTCTGGGAGCCACACTGAGAACTGCCTTCGTGGTTCATGCCCTCATCATTTCCTGTTTGGATGATTGCCCAATCTTCCTCCCTGAGCTTCTCATCTCTAATCCCTACCTCCTTTCCCCCCACATTCTCTACTCTGTGCTTAGATCTGGGAAAACACAACAGAACTTTTTGAGCTATCGATAGCCCTCAAGATGAATGTCAGGAGTCCTTCCTGTGACCTGCAGTGCCCTCAGCTACCTGGCTCCTAACTCTCTCTCACTGCCTTGAAGATCCTGTGTCCAGGGCCTACCACAATGAACTCCCGCAGTTTCTTCATACCCGTGTCATTTTTCTTTTCTTTTTTGAGATGTTTTTGCTAGAGGGCGCATGTGCTTGCCAGAAAGACAGAGAGACAGAAAGCAAGAAATCACACTCCCCCCCCCCCCCCCCCGACGCGCGGGCCACCCCTCCCGGAAGGATGGCCACGCCACAATTCCTTCTCCTCCATTCTCCTCTCGGGATCTTGGGCACGCACCTGGCTTGAGTTTAAGCCACTGGGTCCAGGACTCAAACCGTGGTCGAGTACATGGGAGTCCAATGACGTAGCCATTACGCTAAGTGCTGTTCCCACCTATGTCGTTTTCATTTGTCACGCGCATCTGTCTATTCTGCAATGCTGCAGCTCCTTTCCTCATTAACTCCTAACTTCTTTGGTTCTTGCAAACCACTCAAGACCCCCTCTTGGGGAAGCATTACTTCTGCATCTGCAGCTAGGGCTGGGGGCCTCACTTCTGTGCCTTCTAACCCACGGTGGCTATTACATGATTGTACCTGCCCACTAGTCCACCTCACCTGTAGGACTCTGGACTTCCTCCTGATGGCAAGAACCAAATGTTATCTTTTTTTGCTATAATCCTAAGTGGTACCTTGCCTAATATAGGGACGGAGATCAATGGATGATGAATGAAAGGGAAGATCCAGGTACTTTGAGGAAAAGGCATTTTAGCCAGATATAAAGAATGATTAGGATTCGGGACTGCGGAGAGAAGCAGAAGAATATCGCAGAAGAGGAAGCTTGAGCCTGAGTTTGGATTTGGTCAGGCTTCGGTGTGAGAAAGGAATGAGAGGCCTAGTTTGGCTGGTCACAGCACATATGGTCTTTTTTTTTTTTTAAAGAATTATTTAACTTTATTTAATATTATCATTATTATTTTCCAGTTTGATCAGAGAGAGACAGAGAGAGAGAGAAGAAGTGAGAAAGCAAGCCTCCTGGTCCGAGACTTGAACCGTGGTCGGCCATGTGGGAGTCCAGCGCCTTTAACCACCATGCCACTTGCCGGCCCCCCACATATGGTCTTGAGAGCCAGGGAGGGAGATAGCACAGCTAGAATTAGCGTGACACAGTAATATGAGAGTCGAGGAAAGACCTGGAGCAAAGGTGGGAATGTAGAGAGTACTGAGAATCAGGATTACGCTGGATGAAGACTATAGATGGACAGAGTTCAAGAGTGTAGATCCCACCATGGTGAACTTGGACTCCATTAAAACATATTCCGCTGTCTGGGACCAGCAGTTAGCATAATGGCTATGTCGCTGGACTCCCACGTAGTCGACCGCAGTTCACATCCCGGATCCGGTGACTTAAAACTCACACCAGGCGCGTGTGCGTGCATGCTCAAGATCCCAAGAGGAAAATGGAGGAGAAGGGATTGAGGCATGGCCATCCCCCCTGGGGGGGTGGTTTCTCGCTTTCCGTCTCTCTGTCTCTCTCTGTCTGGCAAGCGCACATGCCCTATAGCAAAAACCTCTCCAAAAAACAAAGAAACAAAAAAACATATTCTGCTGTCTCCTTTACATATCTTCCCACCCACCCTGTTCATGTTTTTATCTCCAGTGCCTAACACCTGCTCAATGAATGATAAATGAACTATGCATGGAATCAGAATAAAGGCCAGGAATGGTCCTGCATGGATCGGCAAAGAGAGGTGGTCTTTATGGTGATTTTAGGTAGCACCAATACCAATAATGTGAATTAGACCAAGGTGAGAGAAAAAGCAGGCTGCTGGCACAGGTAGCTGGACCAGGTGAGGGACCTCAAGGGATGGGCAGTCGGAGTTCAAGAGACCATGGCTTGTCACTAGGCATGGGGAAAATCTTAGCATTTGTGAAGATCAAATGATGCTTGAGCACAAGGCCAGACACCTGTGCTTACGGTGTCTAAGCGATTTTACTCTTCAGTGTACAATGACAAACTGCACCAGGGCTGAAGTGTACTACTGTCTGCCTGCACTATACTAATGCATTAAACATGAGCGTTAGTACCTTTGTTCTGTGTTTAAAGATACGTCTAGAAAGAGTTAGCGTTGTCACTGCCAATCCATTTTTCCTTGCGAAACAGACAGCTTTATGACTATTATGACACTGTTCTCAAAATCTAACCACGGCTGTTCTTCCATAAAATTTAACACAGTGACATGTGTTTAGAGAACGCGGAATATGTCAAAGCAATGGTTTTTCTTCTGACCCGTTCTTCCAGTTTTCTTGTGTCGTTCTTCCAGTTTTCTTGTGCAATGCTAGGGAGCTTTCTTGTAGGGCTCTTATGTCTGCAGAGAAATAGCTGAATAAAAATATAGTAGAGACTAAAGCTTTCATGATCTTTATATTAAACATACGCCGAGTTGTTTTTCTTAGCAGTCATCCTAAGAGAAAAATTACTTGTGGTTATGCTTCCAAATCAATATTTCTATTGGTAAATCCATCAACAAGTAAAATTGCAATGTGACCAAGCAGGAAGTTTTACTACCCAAAACAAGGACATGCAGGGAGTGTGTGCAGGATAAGCAGTAGATAAAGGCAGGATTCCGTTTCCTTTTATGCTCAGGCTTACAGACAGGCAGACCGTAACTCACCCATGCCTGCTGCTGACTGAGAGGAGCGCAGGGCTTATGAGCTGCAAGACATTTACTTCTAAAATTCAATTGCATTTCTTCAATCATTGTGAGCACGGATACCTAATTAAAGGGGTTACACACTGAGATTCTCTGTCACAAACTATAAAGCGTGGCCTAGTTGGAGTTAATTCATTGAACAAATATTTACCTTGTGTGTGCACCAGCCCCTAAGTTAGACAGAGGGAACAGACAAACCCAGGTTTTCTGTCATCTTTGAGCCAGGTAGTTCCAGACACTCATTTTATTGTTGTTGTTTTTGCTACTGTGGCTAACATGTGAATGACCAGTTTTATTTCCAGTTTTCTACTTGAACTACTTTATAAACTACGAAAAGCTGCACTTCTGATGTTCATCCAAAGTAGCAATCTTCAATGTGTTCTTAAAATTCCACAGTGTGTCTGTCTTGATGGGGCCAATTAGAAAATCTGGGGAGAGTGGAATTCAGGAAGTCAGAGAGCCATAAGCATGCTTGGAATTTCTAACAGATTTTATTAAACATTTTCTGTATCATGACATGTTCCAGAAGACCATAAAACTTAGTTTATATGAATATAAACTCCTTTTTTGCTTTACTGATAACTGTAAATAAATAATTCAAATGCCCACCCAGCAAAACAGCAAGACTTGAGGAGTATGCGTGTTTTTTTAAGTAAATATTTTCCTTGTAAATTTTTATAATCAAGAGAAAAATAATAAGGGAGTGCCTCTCTTTATTCCCATTTCTAACTTCTGTAGCACTAGTTGCAACATTTCTGCATATCCCAATAATATTGTTACAGAAATAGAAAATAATGAGTCATTTTTTTTTATTTGACTTTAAGAGAGGGGATTAAAGGCATTCTCTTGTTTGCCTTTCAATAAAGCAAAACGCTGATTTCTCCAGTTCAAATGACATAATCTGTCACATGGTTTTCACGGTAAAAAATCAACCGAACTAGATGCAGGCTATAAGTTGAGATAGCACCATTTTGCTCACTAAGAAGTCTTCCATGAAAGTGCATAAATGCTCCACAAATCACAGCTGTCTGGCACTGTTCCAGTGGTAGTAAGTGGGGATAAAAAGAGTTGGAGAGATTATCTTTAGTTTCATATGGCTTGGTAAACTAGATCCTACGTATGCTAATTTTGTACTTTTTTTAATAGATGGAACTGATTAAAAATATAAGTACTGCTGAACAGCCCTATTTATTCACTCGACATGTTCATTTCCTCAACTTCTCAAGGTAAGACGTTTTCCAGTTTAATGGTTCTCTCCATTCTTTTTAGTCCTTAGTCTCCTAATGAACAGTTACCTTAGGAATCTACCTTTATTTGCAAAGTACGCCAACTGCCCTTGAAAAGACATTTTTAACCCATTTATGTTTATTACAGAAGGATCAACATTTAAATATTTGGACAGAAACTTCATTTCTTCCTAGAACATCATCTTAAAGCTTACGAAAATTTGGAATTGTTTTTAATGAGAAATCATTTGACTTGATTGTTTTTTTCTTAAATCAAATTCTGTATGGAAACATAAGGCAAGAGATGGGTATTTTATCATGCTTATTTAATTGCACATTTTCAAATAATTTGATCCTGTTCAGGACCCTGGAAATAAGTTAGTGATGGAGTAATTCAATGATGTGGGATACTGGGGTGTGTGGACTCAATATCCAGCACAGGTATAGCAGCGAACCTGATTCTCTTCTTTTCTTTCTTTTTTTTAAATCATTTTGCCATAGGACACATGTACTTGTGGGAGGGACAGGAAGAAACAGTGAGAGGAAAAGTGAGAAATCACGCCCCAGGCCAGGCTTCAATCCCTTCTGCTCCATCCTCCTCCTGGGATTTTGGGCATGCATGCACAAATGCCTGGCATGACTTTCAAGCTGCTAGTTTCAGGACTCTTAACTATGGTTGGCCATGTGGGAGTCCAGCACCTTAACCACCATACTACCTCCTGGCCCCAAGTAAACCTAACCAATTCTTTGTCTCGTGCTCACTGTAGACGAACAAGAGGGATAGCAAAGCAGTTTATTGAAGAAGCGAACAGCTCCCAAGCATGGAAAGATCCAGAAAGTGGGGTTGCCAACTTGGGGCTCTTACCAAGGTTTTTTATCCTAGGGTTTTTATCCTAGCCAGGAGGGGCCTGTTCACATATTGGTATTATCCCCGTGGGGTCATCTGCTGTGCATGTCATGATGTCCATTTAGGGAGCTTGTACGCTTAGAGAACTTCTGGTAAGTGATGGCCAAGTCTTTGTCCGAGAGCTTCAGTCCAGAAACCACTATCTAGTGGTCAGCGATTGCTTGAGTTTTATTTCAGAGCTTTGGGCCCTAAAACCCATTCCCAGAATGTAGTGGAAACATGAAAAAAAGGTATCCTAGGTTAATCACAGAGTTATTGCTATGAGCTGGTTTTTTGTGGGCAGTTTCTAATGCACACTTGACTATGGTGCCTCCATCTTTGGGCCTTACGTTCTGACTGTCATTTCTTAACGTTCTGTCTCCTATCTCACATGTTTTCTAGAACCTACAGAGCTAGTACCAGCCTCTTGATCTACCTTTATAATACTCCATTTGATTATTCTAAGGCCATGTGTTTGACGTTGGAATCCTGCTTTCTTTAAGCAGGTATAGTCTTCTGATAGTAATGCAAATCTTTAAATTCAGGCCTTCCGGCTTTCTACTTATTAAGTTGCTAGCTCTCAGTTCTGTGCAGTCTCCTCTACAGTGGTCTATTAAAATACACTATCACTCTGCCTCCCTAAATTCCCCTGAGCTTCCTTCCCTCCCTTGCTGGCCCATGTCTGTGCTCACAGTTGGTGTCTATGACCTGATAGGTCACAGGTTCCAGGGACAGATCTGCTGACTATTCGTGGTCCTTGGGCCTCCCTTGTCAGCCATCTGATGGACAAATCCCTTGTTTTAAGATAGGATTAACAGCATCTCCCAGTCCACCCAAGACCACCAGAGCACCCAGTCCTGAGTGAGCAGACAACACCTGCTAGTTGGTGTTGCCCTAATAGCCCCAGAGGGCCAGGCACCAGGGAGGCTGGCTCTACCCTGAGCACTGGCTGCTGCTTCCCTGCCCTGGGACAGGTGACAGCCAGCCCAACTGAAAGCAGGTTTTAGCCATCAAAGGATTTCTCTCCTGTGCAGGTGGTCCTATGCAAAGTAAGTGTAAAAATGAGATTCAGCAAAGCAAATTATTAAGCAGAGAAGAGGCGTTGCTACCTTATCTTTAAAAGCAAGTTTCCCTGAAGTTCTCATGGCCTGCCTGATAGCCAGAGTTCCCATGCCCAGTGAATAGGACCCCTGCAGACTCTGCAGTGACCCAGGCCCAGGAGCAGAATCGAGGGTGTTTCCAAACATTGTTATAAGGTGGCACATCACTGAATCGCCCACAGGAAGTAGCCTGTGCCCTTTCTCTTACTTTCAGAAAACCAAGACCATATTGTTAGATGTGAGTCGATAATGAGAACGTGTTAGCTATTTTTGGAATTGCGCTTTACGACTTCTAAAGAGAAGAGTGTCGCTTTTCTGATCCTCACTGTTCCAGTGACTTCCTTCTGCATCACCCCCCACCCCATGTCCTCTAACCTCATTTATTAACTCTTTGCTTCTGAGGTCAAATCTGTACATCCAAACAAATTGCAATGCAACACATTTGAATCGTTATCTCAGAACAGTGTAAAACTCTAATGAGAAACCAAAGCTGTATCTTAATTGGATCAGCAGAACACACTGTGGTGTTTAGATTCTATCCTGGCCTCTACCCCCAAGCACACATGCAAGAGTTTAGTCTTGATGGCTTTAATTCTGTGAGAAAAAAAAAAACAATTGATAAATGCCTTTTAGAAGACACCGCATTTGCAGGAAACAGAATCGGGCTGGCTGTCAGGACCCCTGGTTGTTGGAGTAGGCCTTCTCTCTGCCCACCAGTGTGGGCAAGTCAGTCAACCCGTGGGGGTCTCCAATTTTCCATGTGCAAAACAGAGACAATTCTTGCTCACTACTACCTGGTGGGGTTGCTGTGAACATGTCAGGGATGAACCTGTGACCTGTCAGCCCATAGACACAACTGCACACGCAGACCTGGGCCAGTCAGAAGGGCAGGAAGCCCAGGGCTATCAGCTTAGGAGGGAGGCATATGGTGACAGGCCCAAAGAGGAGGCAGTATAAATTGGGAGTGGCATCTGAAAGGCATTTCTGTAGAAGTCTGTCTGAACACCTAGTTCAGCTCAGGGCTATGGCTAGCCTCCAGTGTTTCTCTGGTAACCCCTAAGGAGCAGCAGGGCTGTCTGCCCTCCCTGCTTTCCACTCCTAAACCCGAGCTGCTGGAGCACCCCTCTCCCATACAGTGCACCAGAACTGAGGCTTCCACAGCCGGCGCTCAGTGTGTGCCTCGCCTTCAAGAAACTGTTTTTCTCTCAGTCAGGGAGACACGCAGGGCCGGCTCTGTGACCTAGTGATTAAGGGAGCCAGAGCCCACATGGCTAAGTGCTCGGCTGGAGTTCCCACACAGCAGCTTGAAAAAACACACCAGGGCATGTGTGCCCCAAATCCCGGCGAGATGGAGAAATGGAGGAGAAGGGATTGCAGCAGGACCACAGCCCATGGAGGGGTGCTTTTTCCCTCTCCTGTTCCCTCTCTCTTTCTCTCTACACATGTCCCCTGGCAAATTTAAAAAGTGCAGTGAAGAGTGATGAACTAAGGAGGGTCACAAGGCTTCCCCTCAGGGAGGCGAGGGCAGAGGGCCTTTCCGCTGGGATGGGAAGGATGAAGGATGAAGGGGGAGGGCCTCCCCAGTACAGGGACCAGTATGAGCAGAAGCCTTTCCAGGAGAGGAACAGAAAGGAATGTAGACATGCAGCCCAGAGGCAGGGCCCATCTGCGGCAGGAAGGGCGTCAGCAGGGACATGATTGAGACTGACCTGCACAGCCACTGCCTACCCACAGGAACTACCACCTCTCCCACCTCACCCTTACCTGGGCCTGCTTCCTGCTGCAAGACTTTCACAAACTTAAATGGAAGGATAAGTGAAACGTTAATACCTTCCCAGAGGGACCGGCAGGTGGTGAAGTGGTTAAGGGCACTGGACTTCCACATGGCTAACCGTAGTTTGAGTCCCAGACTTGTCAGATTGCTTTCTCACTCTCTCTCTCTCTCTCTCTCTCTCTCTCTCTCTCTTTCTCTCTTTCTCCCTCTCTGGTCAAGTGAAAATAAATAAATAAAGTTAAATAAAATAATTCTTTAAAAAAAAAATACCTTACAGGATATTTTCACACTCACATCACATGGGAAGTTAAAAATCAGGATTTTTTTTCTTTTTTAAGGAAATAGCATTATTTAAGGACAATTTCCAAGATATTAAAGGCAAACTGTGGACGTATAAAGAAAGCTTCAAAATATATAATAACAGAGAAAAAGAACCACATCAAAAGTTGTTATGAGGGCTTTAACATGCTGTAGAAAATGAGTTCCGTATTTGAATTGTGAGGTACAGAGAAAATTAAGCTGCTCTGACGGAACTTCCCCACATCCCTGCTGGCAGGTATAGGGCCTGTGTGAGGACAATTGGGTTACTGTGACAAGAATTAGTACTGCCACCTCGTATCCTTTGCTGGTGTTTCTGATCTTCAGCACGTCATTAACATGCAGCAAGATACTTGGGGGTGAGCAGACTAAAAATCAAAGTCCACCTTTTTCTGCACAGAAGTGTTTTGGACTTTTGTGGGGTATAACATTGTACCCAAACTAACTGCCCCTTAGGCCCTTTTTTGGCATTTTACCATTAAATGTAGATACTCTGAGCGATGTAAAATGGGAGTCTTGGGAGATTCAATAGCTGACTGATGAGGAGACTTCAAAAAGTTTGTGGAAGGCTGGCCTGGTCACTAGTGGTTAAGAGAGTTGGATTCCATGTGGCCAACCATGGTTCACACCCCAGCCCCAACAGCTTGAAAAATATGACAGGGACATGTGCATGTGTGCCCCAAATCCCAGTAGGATGGAGAAGGAATTGCTGTGTGACCATGCCCAGCTGGGGATGCTTTCTCCCTCTCTGACTCTCTTTAGTGAGTACACATGCCCTCTGACAATGAAAAAAAAAAAAAAAAAGAAAGTTTGTGGAAAAACAGAATTAAAGTATGAGTTTATTTTGGTGGAAAATTCATCTTAAAATGCGTGTATAGTTTTTTCACACTTATTTCAATTATTTATTGTCTAGGCTTCTTGC